ACTTTTATAAAGAGTATCTCTTTGGATTTGAGACTTTAGTCTTTGCAACTTTACAGATCTTCTTTATGCACCAAGAGCTTGTAACACCCCAAAGAGAAAGGAAAAATTGAAATCGCATCATATGACCCCTTTAAATCTCAGCGTTTTTTACAACCAGAGGCTAACTCATGGATTTTCATTGTGAGTGACGACACACTGAACATTCCAAGATGGCGGACACATCGATGTGTCTGGAATGGTCGAATTCATCAGGATAATCTTCACAAATGAACACAACTTTTATTAATTTTGAAGCCTAAATACAATCAGCAGAACTAAAAAGCTAAATGTAGAGTATAAACTAACTATAGCACTGTCACATGACTTCAACGTTACCACCATTAAGCTTGTCAAGTCTTTCAGTCTTTATTTAAAAACGTCTTCTCCAAAAGTTTGGGTAAGAAAAGTTTAAATAGTGTGATCATAAACACAACAAGGCTGTGAAAGCGTAGTTCAATTTAGCCACTTAGAAACTTAACCACTTATTTAGTCACTTAGAAATTGCCTTTTTCAAAACAACAAGGGGGTTTTACTGATGTATTTTATGTGGTAGAATAAACTGTGAATATATCTTGAGCTTGTGTTTAACCACAGACCTTATTTTAGTCATTTAAACAAAAACCCCTTCAAAAACCCATTGACTTTGGAGGTGCTAGATTCTTGTTTCCGGGTTTTGGTTTATAAAAATATCTCATCCCTGCAGCACTCTGTAAAGCTATTGTTATAAACTGTATATCTATATAGTAAACAGGCTTTAGCTGAAAAGGGCGGTACTTTCATGTCTCGTGTCACTGTGGACTTTCATACAAACAAAACTGTAGCAATAATGACTTTAGAAGATTTAAAGCATTAAATATAAGCCATGTAATACTGTTGGAGCTTTCGTCTTGCTTAGGCCAATTCTATAAATTGTAATTGACTATTTTTGTCTTAGAGGAGCTTTAAAATAATGTGGGTGACAAGTATTTTATAAAAACAAAATTATAAATATAGCAATTTCAACTCTCTCCCTCTCTTTAGTGTGGATGACGATGTATCTCAGGCCTGTCCTTACGTGTATGTGAACCACACAGGCCACATCCGCTATGACAGGATGTTGAGGCTGGTTAGCGCTTGTAACCTACAAATCTTCAGTTTCCCTTTCGACATACAGAACTGCTCTTTCACCTTCGGCTCCTACATGCATACCAGTAACGTCTCCTCTTTCATTGCTCTCCTCATTTCCTGCCACCTCAGCACATATTTTTATGTGTTTCTGAGTTTTGTGAAGACCCACTTAATCTGTCTTGTTAGTTTCTGTTGACTTTCACATGCAGTAATGTAAAGTCATCATATGGCAGTAAGAGAATGTCAGTTTTTCACACTAGATGACTTTTAAAATAAAGCTATTTTGCCCTAGGAATGAAAAAAAAACACCAAGATAAAATATTTGTATTCTAAGTGTATTAAGTATAATTCTAACACCTGTAATACATGTAACCCCTTCAGTAAAGGACGTCCGTGTCAGTCCTGTCCTGTCCTCTAAGGAGATGACCATAAACTCGAAGCGTTATCTGCAGGCCAGTGGAGAGTGGGAGCTGGTGGATATCTTGGGCGACACTAACATTTTGAAGTTTGGAATAGATGAATGGGACATCATCACTTTCTGGGTAAGAAAGAGACAAAAGCATAATAGGCTATGTTTAGAAATGCATACTAAAATGCTACGCTGTTCCCTATCGAACGGTCTCTCCCATTGCGTTATATGCTTATGGGATAAACTCCTGCTTACTGATACTGAAGCCTGATTTGATCACATTTGTTTAGCTGCATGAACAAATGGCGCTTCAGCCCGCCAAAAGGGGTGGCACGACTGCCATATAAGTCGGCTCTAAGCGCCATTCATCAGAATTTTCTCCTTCTGCGCGAAAACCATCTCCTCGCTGGACTCTGGTGCAAGAAGCTTGAAGCCTGCTACTCGCTGTGGACCAGCCTCGGCAGCGGGAAGGCGCTCTTCTTCAGCACCTTCTCCTTTGCGGCTATCCAGCTATCACAAAAAGCAAATTTTCTAAGAGCAAATTTCTTCGCCATTGTTGCAAATGGTGTGACGCTTCAGATGGGCACAGAGAGTGTGCCGCTTGCCTGGGCCACACCCACGCTGAGGCTGCTCTCACTGAGAGAGACTCCTCTCATTGCGAGAGCTTGAGTCTCGCCCTGCTTCACCTTATTCTTGCTCTCCCATTTCTCCCCTCCCAGCTGCCTCGGAGGAACAAACAGTGGAGTCACGGGGCTGAGCAACCGGGCTCGAGTGATTTCATGCCGGCACAGGTCCCGCGTGCGTCACTCTCCCCGCAGCACTTTGATCCGGTGTCTTTTGCACGTGAGGATCAGCGCCCCTCATCTGCAATGAGCGGTTTGATCTTTTTAGGTGGATCAGAGGAGAATGACTCCATATTACTGACAGCTTCAGATTCAGAGGATTGCGCATGCTCCGGAGAGGATCCTGGCACCCTTCTCCCTAGTGAGTTATCACGGGCTGGTGTGGATAGCGAACTGATTCGCATCCTCACCAAGGCTTTGGAGAATCTCAGCTTAGCCGGCTCCAGAAGAGCCTGCCCACAGCGCTTAGACGAATGATGCTCACTGGGCCGTCGTCAATGAATCTCCCTCCAGAGACCAGTGCCATTTTTCCGGAAGTTCACGATGAACTTACAAAGGTGTGGCGCGCCCGCAACTCTGTGTGCATCCACTCTTCTAATTCTGCCGCCCTCACATCTGTTGACGGTGCTGAAGAAAATTAATATGGCAAGCTCCCCCCTCTGGAAGAGGCAGTCGCTGCACATCTCTGCCCAACATCTGCCCTGGAACTAACAGCCAAGGCTGTGCACCATTCTAAGCCCAGTAGGACAATTTCGGCTCTAGTAGGCTGGGCTTATTCAGCGCTGAAGAGAGCGCTGGTTATTCACTCCCCCCACCGACAATTCCTGCT